GTTTACAACAACCAAGAGATGATTTTGATTAAAGGATTTGATAAAATAAGGTGAAGAAAACAAACAGGCATTACGACCCTGAAGCCTAATAAAGAGGATATCGCTGTTAACATTTTTTCTTGTCTGGGAAGTACATTCCATCTTGTTAAAGGTGGAGCAAGCTCTTTACTTACGGAAAGATATCACCACAATTATTTGAGTCGTGTCATCATGAAGAGAAATGATCGACAATGCAGAAGAACAACAGACCTTTTTTGTGAAATAATCAAACCGAGCATCATCAGCATCTTCTGCAGTTTTCGCATCAAAACGCTCATAAATCTGCAAGTTTGAGAAATAGCAAAAACCATAAGCGGAGAAAGGAATCCATAGTATTTCCACAGGAACATGATTAATCAAATTCAGGTATGCAATTATCAAACAAAATAGAAGCCAGACAAGATTCAAACTTAATAATACATGGAGCATACAAATAGTAATGCAGATCTTGTACTTAATACAACTTTGCTGCGGACTGTTAAGACATAAAAAAATTCCCACCCTAACTGTTTAAGCTTTTAGATAAGGTGGTCACACAATTTTTACATGGTATCAGATCCAACTTTTGGTAAGCCATTCTGATACTCGTATGTCTGTTTCAAAATTCACGTTTAAACCCAAAAATTGGTTGTAACACGTACTGGAGGTGTTGCACGAAAAATATCAATATCAAAAGAAATAAAGTTGATACATTGTTTCGTGATTTCTTGATCTTAGCTGGCTTAAGTAAGACAAATAGAGAAGGATTGTATGACACCGGTAACCGCCTGTTTATCTAGTATCTGGTATTAGGACTAGATGTGAATGAAAGCAAGTGTCATCTTGACTTCCATGGGGAACACAATTTGAACATGCTATTAGAGTAGGCACAGATTCTAGGTTCACGTCCCAACAGCATTCATTATCAAATTGAATGTCCACGTGCTTGCCAAGAAAAAGAATTAGACTGCAGGCAAGAGGTAGTGTTTAAGACATAAAATAAATAAAAGTGTCTCATCTCTATTAAATTAAACTTTTAGATGAGGTGGTCATAATATCAACAAAATCATAAAGTGATATGACTACAGACACAAAACTTGATGTATTCCTTTTGATAAACTGAAATTCTTACACTGGAAATTTGTCGGATTCATGCTAAATAAATTAAATATAACTATAAGACCATACTTTTATCACTCACCTGCCGTATTTGAAGTACTACCTTGGGTAAAACACCTTTATACTCGCTTGCCAATTTAACCTGAAAATACAGCACTTAGATAAGCAATATCTCTCTTTTCTGAGCATCTCACAATATAAGCATGCTGGAATTCATACTGATGATTTCGGAATTTCAAGGTAATATGCAAGGCTATGCGTCACTTTTATACCAGTGGAGATCCAATTCTATTTTCCCTAGTGTATGCAACCCTTCAAAACTCAAATAAAGTAAGAAGAACAACATATTAAACTCACATTAAAACTTTCATCTCCCGCTAATTAGAATAAATTGTATAATGGAAATTTATTCATCATTTTCCATAAGTTTAGGCACATATATCGTCTTCACAGAACAACGTTAGTGGAAGGAAGAGCGGAGAAGTCAAATGGAGGATTTTCAATTACTTATAAATAAAGGAAAAGAATAACTAAAATTACAGCTTCAAAGTGGCCCCAGACTCAGGGCTTTGATCTGGTAATAAGGCCGCAGCAAGTGATGTAGGGTTTAGCCTCACTTCACTGGTTCGGACCCTGCTGCAGACAAGCCCGGTATTTAAGAGTAAAGGGTAGGTAGGTCTATTATCTACCGAGTTTTAAACCGTGCGTCACCGATCCTCAGGGATTTCTCGGTTATAAGAAAAAAAACATTACAGCTCTCAAAGTATAGCTGCAAATCACCAGTTAATGGGCAAATAACTTAGTCC